AAGCCTTTTATCATGCAATGTCTTGAAGTTTGCCAGTAAGCTCAAGGAATAAGCAGCTTATACTCTATAGCAAGTTGATGACTTACTCCTAATTGGGGATAATAGGCAGCTGCAAAAACATGTTCATTTTTCTGGCATAAAAAACATGATTTCCAACTCTGTGCCCTCTAGCAAGGTGGTATAGAAAATCTTATCATAGTCAGAAGAGGTTTTGAGGTCTCAATAAACCAAGATGACTTCTGCAGCACATCCCTGCAAGGCAGCAGGGTGCAGTGAGAGGAAGAGGAAAAAAAGTTGTACTAGCTAACTGGTAATTAATAAGCACAGAAATTGTATCCAAATCCACATATAAGGGAACTCTGAATTGCGGCCAAGGCATCTTGGGCTGCATTTCTCAATTCATTCATGGTTAGATGTGGCAATGCTCTGAGTTACCTGTGTTCTGACAGGATGAAAAGGTTTTCCTCACATGCTTTAAGTGATGTGGTGATACCATGGCAACACTGCAAGAGAACTATTGGTAGTGAAAGTGTTAGGCACCAGTGCTATCTTTGTGCCTTGATACCAGTGGAGCACTTGATTATGTGACTTTCCCCCTCTTGGTTATGTTGTTCAGTAATAGGAGGAGGACTTTTCCTTCATCTTGACACTCTTAACCTTGCAGTATGACAAGGATCCAGAGCAGAATTGCAGTACAGGTGGGTGAGCCTCGGCTGATGTGGGTGAGAGAAGGGATTGAAGTATAAAAGGTGCAGCATGGTGGTGGAAAGAAGAGATCTTGATGTTCTGCTGGTACTGTCTTGTACTTTACAGCCCTGATGTGAGAAAGAATCCCTTAAATATATGCCAGTGCCCCAGCAGGATTGGATCAGATCAGTTGTGTAGAAAGGTGCTGGTGAGGGGAGTGTAGGTTAGGTTCTTCTGCTGGCTTTTCATTTTCCCTGCCAAGAGAAAAAATATACAGAAGTAAAAAATACAGAACATCTAATTCCATAAGTATAGTGTTCTTTTCTTTTGATCATGAACTTCTTTAAGTCAAAGTTTTTTTTAAAAATGGTCTTGCTGCATTCCAGATCACAAGGCCTGGAACCAGCAGAAACACACTATTTACTTCACAGGAATTTATATTAGTCTTGCTTGAAATGATCTGATGGGTTGTTCTTCTGTTGCATTCTGCTCTTATAAAGTCAATTGTAAATCCTTATCTGAAGAAAGTCTTAGCTTGTGCCAGTGCTGACATCTTAGTGCTGAAATGTACCATGCCCTGGGAAAACTGTGATGATTTCACATGCCTGCCTCAGCCACACAGCGTCTCTGGAGATCATTCACAGCAGTAAAGTGTTTCCTCAGCAGCTACAGAGATCAGCGCTGCTTATTGCAAGTAGCCTTCCTGGGATAAGACATGTTCAGGCATCTCTAAGCATTTGTAGGAAAGTCAGGGTCATCCACAGACTGATCTAATCTCTGGCTGCCTACAAGCTTGAGGAGAGGCTGTCCTTTTTGTACTTTTCATCTAACTGGCAGCCCACGTGACATGATTTGGCTTTGCAGTGTCTCTGCTAGCCTTGTTGTTGGCCTTTTGCAGCAAGGTCTCCTCTTCATGTGACATCAACATGCAGGATCCATATCCTCACTTCTTGTCTTTCTTGTGCACCTAGCTGATCCTGCTGCTGGAAAGTCTTCACCTAGGGCAAAGGACTGGAATATGGTCATGTAAACTATGCAGGTACTATTGCCAGAAGTGTTGAAGTTATTAAAAATGTTTATTGAAGGGCAATGAAGTGACTCACTGGCTTTTCAAAGATGCGTCAAGACACTATACATAAAAATAAAGGAGTAACACAAGTCAGCAAGCTCCTTTAAACCTAGGCAAGCTAAGATGTTTCCTTTCCCCTCAGTGAATATGTATAATGTTTACAGTGATTAATAGAAGGTAGATAAGTTTTCTGAGGTGAAAAACATACCACTTTATTCTTAAGTTGTGCATGACCTGTAAAGCAAATAGTGTGCATCTGAAGCATCAGCTTCCTGTGGAGATTCCTTCAAACAAGAGGAGTAATAACTTTTGTAAAGATCTTTCCAAAAATGCTCTGAAATATCATTGCTGAAGTTGTGGGGTTTTTTCTAAGTAGTTTATTAATTGCTAAAATGTGCTAGCTTGTGAATATATATGTGTACACATAATATATATGAGTTATTTTTTTCTAGACATATTACTTTATTTAGATTATTTCTAAAGTTAATCTGTGATATCTGGCTATGTTTCTTTCTTCTTTTAAAATACATATTTTAAATGGGGAAATTGGTACAAGGTGCATGGATTAGTAAATTCACAATTTTGAACTCACTAGATAAATCAACTCCTTGCCTTTTATTGTCTGAAGGAGTTAATGTTGACATCTGTTTTCAAAAGTTTCAATCTTCCTGAATGGAATTATTGTCCATGAATTTCATGTATTTGCTCAGTTTGAAGCAGACAGATTTCTGTAGCTAGGATGAATATCTTTGCATTGGAGTTAGCAGTTTTCAGCAGAAGGCAGAACAGGGACTGATGCAAATCTGTATTTCTCTTTGGGGAGCTGTTGGAGCCCTAATCCTCCTCCATTTATACTGGTAGGCACAGGGCAAAAAAAAAACCTAGATGAGGTTTTTGTGAAAGTGGTCTCCTGCAATAGGCTGTACGCCATGACTCAGGAGGATTTGAAAAGATCAGCATTCTAGTGCTTGTAAGACTATGCTGTCTATCACCAGGATGCAGGCACTTCACACCAGTAGCCCACTTTCTGAGCCACTGGAGAGAAGAGCATGGGTTTTGTCCTGCTGCCTCAAGGGTGGGTATCCTCTCGCTCTGCTGAGCTGGTATCTCACTGCTTCTGCCAGTGAGACAATGCCTGGCTCCTGTCCCAGGACAAAACTCTACAGCCAAGAGATCCTGGTCTCACTTCTGAGTATTTGGATTTACTAGTGCTGATTTCACAGAGAAACTGCGTTTCCACATCCCTTAGCACCATGGGATTCTCAGCTGGGAGGGAGTCAGGAGGTTGCTCAGAGCTGGTCCTGACAGTAGGTGAGGTCAGCCCCAGAAAGAGCTTTGGAGGTTTGCATGGCTGAGCCTTCAGATCTTCCCAGAACCTGTTCAGTGCTGCATTACCTAACTTCTGGTGGTGTCTTCCTTACCTCTTATCTGACTTTGCCTGGCTGCAAACCGTGGCCTTCATCCCTTTTTATGTCAGCTGGAATTGCAAAGATGAATTTTGCTCTCTTGTCTTTGTAAATGCACTTCAAATAACTGTAATTCTCACTTAGATCCACAGTTTCCAGCAGAGGCTTCTGTATTCCATAAAGGACTGCACTCCGTAGGCAATGCCTGTAAGCCTGGACAAAAGAGAAATCCCTAATTTTGGGCAAGGCAGCCCCTGCAGGGCTTCTTGTGCTGCCCTGTACCTCTCTGCAGAGCTGCTCACTGCCTTTGGTGATCATCTCATCCTCCCACCTCTCACCTGGCTTCTCAGGGTGTGTGGGGGAGTAGCTGCTTCATTTTAAGGCAGACTCCTTTGAAACCTCTCTAAGGTTCACCTTGTTCTCCAGGGCACCCAGGTGAGGAAGTTTATTGCTAGTTTTAGCTTCATAGACTTCAATGAAGTTATACAATAAATCTTTCTTCCCAGTACTTTATTTCAAAACATTGGAAATAAAGTTTCTTGGACTCTGTTTGCCTTACATCAGCTTTCTAACAGAAAAGATATTTTTTTTAGCATCCTGGATCAATTTAAAGCCTAGGACAAATATAGGACTCATTAAATGTCATTTGTCTGAGAAACAGAATAATAAGATTGCACCATGATGTTATGTGGCTGAATGTGTATCTTTTGAGCAGCTAGGACACAGGACCGGGATTCAGGAAGCTATTTGGCAAACATAAAATTAAGCACTTAACAATTTTGTGCCTCATATTTTCCATCTGTAAAATGGGGGCATTGATATTTCTTTATTTGAATAGCATTTCTGATTTAATGATCTATGATTATCATTACTACTGTTCCGAGTGTCATCAACTCTGTTCTGAATTGGTTATAATTAGAATGTTTAGATGCATGAAAGCAATTACAGAGCCTATATGGCACAAACAGTTAAGCCCATGATTAATTTTTTTGTCTTAGGTAATGGCAGTTACTTTATTGCTCATAGGAGTAAAATTCAGCACATTGGAAGTGCTTGTTAGAACACTTTTAGAATATAGTTAGAAAGACTATAAATGGAAGGCTTTAAGAAACCTGAATTCTTAAACAGAAATAAGTAATAATAGATTTCTTAGGGTAGTTTATTTTAACTGTATGCTTCAGCATGTTGTGGGATGAGTCTTAATTTGGTTCATGAAACTCAAAGTTTGGCCATGGATGCTAAGTATTGGCTTTTATATCAATCGATATGTTTTTGCAGAAAAGAAATCCTTCTTTAAGTTTTGGCTTCAGTTCAAAAGCTTATTGTTAAATAAGCTTTGTTAATAAGAAGCCTGACTCATGGCAGGCAGTGCTGGGAAGGACTGATTACCAGGGATATCAAACAGACCTCTTCCCATTCCACTGCCAGAACAGTTATCTTTAGAGTTTGTTTAAGAAGGGATTCATTTTACCCAGAAGAAATAGTTTATGTTTTCACATTGCAAGGGTTTTGTTTTCTATGTGGTGATAGCTAATTATGCAACTTGACCAAGGATTGGGAAAAAGTCACCCGAACATATGTTGAAAGAAATTCTCCTGTAGTGATAGAAAACCACCGGACTGTGCAAATACACCAGATGACCATCATGAGAAGCAAGTTCTGGACAGAAGCAGCTGAGGTGCTGAGAGGCAGTGAAGCCTAAGGCTGCCTTCTGGAACAGGAGAAGTCCATGGTTATGCACACACAGCCTGTTGCAATCTGGTAGTGGAGGAGTTTAGCTGTTGAGTAATATTTTGTTTTCCATCCTTCAGTTGTTTTTATTTCTTTCCTTTATATAGTTGATGGTTTGGACAAGGCTTCAATTGCTAACTCAGATGGACCAGCCCCTGGATCCCAAACTCCCCCCTTCAAGAGGAAGGGCAAACTCTCCAACATTGGCAAAATCTTTAAACCTTGGAAATGGCGGAAGAAGAAGACCAGTGACAAATTCAGAGAAACATCAGCAGGTATGTCTGTGACCCTTTGGTGGCAAATAACAGAAAACACTGTGATGGTTTTGCAGGATAATATTTGAAAAGCTCTTTGAACTTGTTAGATGGCAGGGATTATTTAGGCATGGTATTTGACATACAGAAAACCAGTTTGATCCTTGTCAAGGGAAAACTGAACCTTATTCAGCTTCTGTCTTGAGCCCATCACCTAAAATACACAGCTGATTTCTTTACCATACATATCCTCAAATATGCTGGGAAAACTCTCTGTCCTCCTGGTAGTCAGTGACTTGAATTATGAAAAAAACCTTGCTTTTGTGGGGACAGAAGTTTGGGGGAGAAGCAGATGTAGCCATGCCCAGCAGAAGAATGAGGATCAGCTCTGCAATCCCTGCCTTCATAGAGGCTGCTCTGCCCCTTCACTTCCCCACTGACAAGGCTGGAAGGATGGCCTGAAATCAAGTGCTGTGATTGAATTATATTCTGTCTGAAAAAGAGGGATATTGAAGGCTGGGATTTAGTTAGCCAAACATAGTTGTTTGAGGCCACCTGAGATGCTCTGGGGTGTCCTGGCTGCCCTCCCAGGAGGTTTGATATCATATTTGTCATCCCTGTGCAGACAGCTCCAAAACCCTGGGGCATCTGAAGTGGCTGTAGACATCCACGTTTAGTGAAACTGAATGCCACTCTGCATTTATGTGTTTGTGTGTCTTTGTGTCACTGCTCTAGCCAAACTTTCTCTACAAAAATCCCAAACTTCTGGTTTGGGATTCAAACATTTGATGATGTGGTTTCCTAAACTTGAGTCTAATTAGAGTCCAGTGAGTTTCTGTGAGCTCTTTAGATTCATTGCCACAGTGCAGGCCCTCTATCTACTGTCTTCCAAGGCTTTGGGCCATAAAACCAACACTAGTCTCCTAAAGAATTTTCAGTAGGCTCCCCTGAACTCTTGGAAGTACAATGCTTGACATTTTTAACCCATACCAATCCCTGACAGTTACAGCAACAGGCTCTATGGTTTGACAGTGAAACTTTTAAAACAAACTTTATTTACACAAAAAGGAAAAAGAAGCCATTTTCTCTGGTGTCTTTGTCACTCCAGATGACAGCTGAAGTTTCGAACAGATTGCTGAGATCTTCAAATTCTTCTTTTTTTTTTTTTTCAATTTTCCCACATACCCTGCAGCAACCCCCCACCCCCTCCAATTTCTTCTACTACTGCAATCAAAACTAAATCCCCTCAGTCTGATATCTCCTTCATTGCTTCCCACTTCCTTCAGCTTTCCCAGTACCGTTTTTTACACTTTTCCCAGTACTTATTATTAAAGCAAAGCTATTTCTAGTTAATGACTCCTGAATGTTCTGCAGCTTCTCCTGGACAGGTATGTGATTTTATATGCAACAAGTTCTTCAGAGTAATGACCATGCACAAGCTGTGTATACAGAGATTCCCTAAACTTTCACAACCTATTAGCATGTGTTAAATTGTTATGCCATTAAATAATAATGCATGTATCATTTTTCAGTTATTTTTTTTAAAACTAATATCTGGTGAGTTCATATTAAAGATAGCATTTCTTATGTTGTACTGTCTGTCTTCCAAGGGCCTGAATCCAGTCTTGCAAGAGCATGATGCATCAATTCTTATAAGAACAAGGCAGAGCATGTGTTCATATTTCTTTTACAAAAGCAGGAAATAAAGCACAAAGAAATTAAGGTCAATATTTTCAGAAGTGCCTCCTTAGATACTCACTTCTACTTAATTTTCTGGTCTTGTTCATGATGTGGTCCGTCCCTCAAGACACTGATTTGCTTTTAAACTGTGCATGGGATCACTTATGTTTGTGTACATGCCTCATGTGAGGCTGCAATATGAATTGAGAAGTAGCTTGAATTGCATTCATCCTGCCTTGGATGGTAATTTCAGGGATGAATAAAAATAGTATTCCCCATATTTCTTGAGGAAATAGACCCAGGACCAGTGGAGACTGAGAAGATGCATTTTCATGGCAAGTTGCTCCTCGTTGCTTGCTTAGTGACACGGTAGAAATAACTTGCTTATCTAACTTGAGAAGGAAATGCGAAGACTTCTGTTCAAAATAAAAATCCTACAGGATATCCTCTTCCTCACACTAGTGAATCAGAGGTGTATTTACATTACCAAGTGGGGGCTGTGTATGTGCCTGCCTCTTACATGCAGGAAGCCCATTTCCTGGCCTGGGACCATGGGAGAGAGCACAGTGACCCTCATTTATTGCCAGTTCTCTTAGCAGGGCTTCAGCGTGGTCAGTCCACAGGCAGCTGAAGAAAGGGTTTCTCCTAAGACAGAACATGGGCTATTGGCAGGAACTCTCACTACTTTCTCTGGGTTTTCAATAGGCTCTTTGAAATAGATTCTTGCTGCGGCCTTGCCAGGACGTGTGCCATGGACCGCTTTTTGTCCTAGGAGCAACTGAAAGATGTTCGTAAACAGAAAACACCACAAACATCAAAAAATTAGGGATGTTTACATGTTAGATGTTAATATCTGTTCCAGTGTGGGAATGATGGTTGGAATTTTTCCCTTTAGCAACGTATTTTCCACGCTTTATCTCACGAAGTCTATTCTTTGGGCACTGGCTGCATGCTTTTTGCCTAGAGGGCTTTCAAAAGCAAGGAAAAGCAAACATAAAATGTCAACATCTCAAGGGTTTCTCTCCTCTGCAATGTTTTGCTGTGAAGGAAAAGGCAGCGGTTTGTGTCTTGGCACAAAGTAGATGCCACTTCAAAGCTTCACTGCAAAAGTATATACAGAGAGGGATCAGAAGGCAATTTTAGCTCTTACTAGGTCAGAGAAAAATTAATAATCAGAATTCTCTCAAGCTTCCCTTAGAAGAACAAAACTAAATACTGGAGAATATCCAGAATCTCACAGCACTCTTCAAGTCAAAGAATGGATTTTAAGACTGCCTGAGGTTTACAGCTGCTGACCATCACTAAGCAGTCTTTTTTGAGGGGATGAGGAAGGGGAGAGAGAGAGAGAGAGAGAAGCTGCTTTTTGAGGTAAACTGTTCCCATTATTAGAGTTACTATTATTTGTATTGGGCAAAAAAGCAAATATTTGTGAAGGGAAGTAAGTTTTACTGGAGTAAATGAGGGCTACTTACAATACAATAAATTTACATCCTTTTTGATGGTTACACCTAAAGACAGGGTAAGCTCTGATTCTGACTGCAGCAGGGGAAAGATTTTGATCTGTAATTTTCTGATTCTTCTGGAGCATGAGACTGGAGACTTCCTGCCTGCCTCACCTCAGCCTTCTTCAGTAGGCGAGGACTCATAACCAGTAACCCTCAAAGTCAGGACTCATCTCTTTGTAATCAGTCTCAGTGTACACAGATGGAGAAATTGTTCTTTCCTTTTTATTACTGCTTAAAGTTATAAACAGTACGTTGGTGTTCCTATTGAAATTTTATGTGTATATATATATTCACACCTTTATAAATACACATATATTTATGTATCATATATATGACAGACTTGTTGAGATAATATATATTCACTTAGATTGATGTATATTCTTATATACACATATTGCAGAAAAGATTTGTACTGATAGCATCAGCTGGTCACTCAGCCTAACTGCACAGAGTTTTGAGAGTCTCAAACCAGTCTGCTGAGCTAATTACTTTTGACTACTGCTATATTTCAGAAAGTTCTCCTAAAATGATAGGGTTACAAAGTCAAGCATTCAGAAGTCAGGAAATGTTTGAATGATGGTGCTGGGTGAGAGGATGGTACTAAGTACTTGACTGTGTAAATCTAAAATGTATTGCATAATCTAAAGTCTGCAACAAACCTCAAATTATTATGATGAATCCACACTGACTAAACAGCACCCAGTATAAGTTCCTAAGCTGACAGACTACTCATTCCTCTTATACAAGGGGACATATTTTTGCCACTTTGATTCAAATTAAGATTCTGCCTTTTTCTTTGTAGGAATTAAAATTATGATAGTAGTAGGGAACACTAGCTTGATTTTTTTTATGTTCTTTCCATGGGCCAAATAACGTTTAAAATAAATTATCATTTCAAGCTGAATTAATTGAGCTTAATCAGTTTACATAAAAACACCAATCATAGCCAACATTATAGAAGATAGAGGACTGGGACTTAAGCTTCTTATCTGTTCACAAATTTTCTAATGTGTGAAATGGAGATAGTTATGTCTCAGGGTTGTTATGAAACCTGTGTAATGTATGAAATGCTTTGAGGTTTTTTGGTTGAAGTGTAAAGGGTTCATGCCTTTTAATGACAATTGGCATTTCCCATAATAATTAATTCAGCACAGTTGTTAATTCAATGTTGTAGAACTGAAAAAAAAAATCCTGAAAACTAGAGACATTGATGGGGGAAGGTCTGATTTATTGCTCTTAAGCTTGATGGAAAATGCATTATTGTTTTCAAGTGGCATTGAATTGTCCCACAGATATGTAAGAGATTTCATTTCACTGTCCCCAAGAAAACACAGGTAAAAAGGAAGCAGAGAGAAAAAAAAAGAGTGGGAATTAAATAATATTTGTAATGCTGAAATACTAATAAAATAATATTTACAATGTCAGCAACAAAGCAAGCATAAAGTGTGTGCATAAGGTGGTCATCCTTCAGGGCTGTGTCAAAGGAGATTTCACCCTGCTTGTGAATGCATCTGGTCTCTAGAAAGACCAAGACATTCCATCCATGCCTGCCCATGTAGTCCTCTGTCTTCATTACCCCCATCTCTTTTAAAACAGTCTTTGTGGGACTGCTTCCCTACATGAAGAACTCTTTGCAAGCCTAGGGTGTGCTCCTGTGCCAACGTGTGACACATTTGCAAGGCTCGTGCTTTAAAAAATACAGGGGAGAAACTGGGAGAGCCTGTGAATAATTTCAGTGTGGGACCCAAGGCAGCCTAACTTGATCAGAGTTCAGGCTACCACACTCTCCCAAGGAGGCTGGCTGGTATTGAGAGTCTGCAGCCACACTCATAGGCTCCCTTATGCTGTCAAACTTGACTTGAATGCTGCAGAAGTTTGACCTTTAGTGGACAGATCTCTCAAAATACCTGAGTATATAGACACAGATAGCTTATGTGTTCTTGAGCCAGAAATGCTTGCATATGTGAGCTCTTGATCTCACAGGCATGAGTAGCTGGAACTGGACTGGTCAAAATGTTTACTTCCTCCGGCTCTTCTGCCAGGATTTGATGCTATTTTGATGGGGAAATGCATCCCATGTTGAGGAGTTGCTGAATCCCTGCACTTTGCAGTATGAGAAATAAATCTGGTACTGTAAATTCAGGAAGTGCAGAATCCGAGGGACTTGTTACAAGAGCATGTAGCAACAGAACAAGGAGGAATGGCTTAAACTGGGCAGGTTTAGATCAGATGTCAGGAAGAAATTCTTTATTTTGAAGGTGGTAAGGCACTGAACAGGTGGCCTAGAGTAGAGGATGCCCTGTTGCTGTAGGCATTCAAGACCAGGCTGGATGGGTCTTTAAGCAACCTGAGTTAGTGGAAGGTGTCCCTGCTGATGGCAGAGGGTTTGGAACGAGATGGTTTAGGGTTCTTCCAGCTGAAATCCAAATTCTATCATTCTGTTCAACCATCCCTTTCCCTGATGGAGAAGGGGAGTGGGAAGCTGTAAACAGTGATGCCTTCAGACACCTGAGCTCAGCCAGTCTGGTTGTCAGCAGCTGAGTACCTGCTGCTGGGGAAGGTGCTGTGCTATTTATGAAGGGCAGCTTTCTCAGAAGAGTCAAACTGCCTCTCTCTGTGCCTTCACAGGACCCTGTCACTTCACTATATGCCTGAGTCATTCCAACTGGGCTGGTACAATGGAGATTAAACACTGCAAGAGGTATTATCACTCTGCATACAGCAATTAGACTGACCCTAGAGAGTGTTTGAATTAGTTGGTGAGACAGATAGCCCTGTCCCATAGCATTAATAGGATGAAGTCCAGCACAGCTGAAGCTTCACCACATGCCCTCACCTTGAGGTCCAAATGTCATGTGGATTTTGATGCCCGTATGAAAACAGAACCAGGATGGGAGACTACCTTTTCCTAACAGGGGAGACAGGATTTTACAAGTGATAGTTTGGGGATGAGATGCAGTGTGGAGATATTCTGACATCTGTAAATGCTTTTCCCTATAAAACTATTCAGCATTTTTCCCATGGGAAATAATAATTAGAATGCTTTGTGCCACAGTCTTGGGGGTTTTGTGTATGCTGCTTTATTTATTTTTAATCTAAAAACAGGATGCTGCATTTTTTCTTCCATGAAAGCCAGCTAGCACCAATCGATGAGGATGTTATTTCCTTTTAGAACACAACTCTACGGCTTCTGTTAAAGGTTGTTTTTGTTGGGGTTTTTTTTTCCTTTAAACAGTTTGCACATCACAAGGGCTACTCTGTGAGCTGCTTGCTCTGAGCAGTATTTGTGTCTCGCTGCTCAAAACCTGTACGAAGCAGATGGAGGTATCTCCAGCTGAGCTCCTCAATCAAGTCAGGGAAAAAGGCTCTTTTACATGTTAAACGCCTGTGCTAGGATGAGTTCAATTTCATCCTGAAAGAACCTCTTCCCATTGACCATGAAAGAAGCCTCAAGGAGACTTGCTGAGCTGAAGATACTGAATCACATGAGTCCCCACTTTCTGTGCCTGAAATTGCAGGGCAATACTTTCAGGGACTGTCCATGAAAACCCCAACCACTTCTCCTGCAGAATCAGAGGAAGCAAGAGTTCTCTTCCTGTAAAATAAAGATAGTTCTCTACATTTTTTTCACAAACATCAGCAGTATGAGAGTAAATCTATTCTTAACTGTGCTTTTTCTTTAGTGTTGGAAAGGAAGATTTCGACAAGACAAAGCAGAGAGGAGCTGATAAGAAGGGGAGTGCTGAAGGAAATGCCTGAGCAAGGTGATAATGCATTAAGTAGAATTTAGCTACTAAGCACTAAATGTGTATGATAAAGCCACTGTTGCATTGTTTCCATGCAGTATAAATAGGTATGAGGAGACAAACTGAGAGGTGTGAGAGGTAATTTGGGCCAGCCGACAACTGAAGTTAAGTCAAGGGATTTGTGCTCTGTAACTGCTTCTGCCACAGGTGCCACAGCTGACTTCTGGTCATATCCTGAAGTATTTGAATGCTCCCTGTAAATAATGTGACTTCTGTGGCTTCTGCTTACCAGAATTTTTTCTAATTAGTGATAAATCTATTTTTGAGTCAAGGTCTGCTGTCTAAAGCCACTAGAGTATAAAATGAGAATTTTTGGCTGAAAAATTAGGGGCTTTGGAACCCGGAAAAATCAATATAATTCATTTCAGGTATCAAAAAGTACCACTGCTGGGATCATATGGATCCCACTGCTGTCACACAGGCCACAGTCACAAATGGCACCAGCATAAAACTGTGGGGAAGAAATAACTTGTTTCAAAATTCTCTAAGGTTTAGTAACTGGCATTAGCCAGAGTTTGCACTTTGAAAAGCATTAGTAAGCCAAGGTAGATACCTCTATGCTATATCCAATTATGTTTCTTGTAGTATTCTCTCTAATATTTTTCATCTTTTTATAAATCTAGATCAAATAAAAGTAGAGTAAAATAATTTTCTGTAGCTTAAAATTAAACCATTTGTAATTTTATCAAAGAGTCTTAGAACTCCACATTTTCTAAAAATAATTTTCACCTAGAAATTGTATTTTTCTATGTGATCTGAAGAATCAGTAAAATATCAGTGTGTATGGGTTATATCATACACATAGATATTTAGAAGTAAAGGGCTTGTTTGTTGATGTGTGACATCACTTGTCCATACGGAGTTTGGCTAATTATCAGACTATGACATCCAGCATAGCTGGCTTCTGCACTTGTCACTGCCACTGTCATTGTCTTAAAACAAGACTTGCAGACTCTCCATACCTCAGTTTGTCCATCTGTGAATTTGTTGTGGGTTTTGCCACGTGCTTTACCAGGGACCTGTGTGATCTTGTCCTTTGAAGGTTGTAAATTGTATTTTCAGTGGGGACAGTTAATGAAATGTGGTAACTTCTCAGGTTGATTACAGTCTGAACATGAATACTATCATTTGTGATAGAAGTATGAATACTTTGGTCATCAGTGCCCTTGACCCTCTTTTCCATCCTTAATTTGGATTCCTTACAGGGATTGAGCAAAGTGAGGAAAAGGATAGAATTATGAACAATTTTCTCTTCTTTCTCCCATATCAACCTGGTCTGTGTTATCTGCATCACATTGTGCTTCATGTTTGATGAAAATCATAATTTTCAAGGACATTTTGAAAGAATATGGGGTTAATTGGAAGGTGCTAAAATTGGAGAGGTAGGAAAGAGTTGAGGAGTGTGAAGGTAGTTAGAATTACTATGGGGATGAAAGCTAAAAGAGGAAATTACATGGAGACTTGAAATGTGAGAGGTAAGAAATGTGAAGAAGTGACAGCGTTTTACATAGAGTGCAGAAGAATGAAGTGGAAAGTGGCAAGTGCCACTTGGAGGCAGGAGGTGTTTGCAGAAGCAAGACGTGAATAAGAGGTGGCAGTGCCATATGTGGAGGCGGAGAGGAAAGAGTGGATTTCAGAAGCCCTGGGAGGGAGAAGCTGAAGAAACGGAATGTTGCAGTTAAGGTAAGTGCAAGTGTCAGCTGTAGTAAATTAGACAAAGTTGGGAAGGCAGAACTCATTTTTTACAAATCAAGTTGATGTTAGTGTGCAGAAGATGAAACAATCACTTTAGTGGAAGCACCCAAGGTGGTAGGACAGAGGCTGCATAATTGTGTTGAAACCAGGGAAGTGCCAAACATCCAGGTCTGATAACACTCAGCAAGGAAGAGAAGTGGAATTGCCACAGTTAGTGAAGAGCCAATGGAAGAAATCAAAGAGATGCCATGTAGATCTGCTTGTTTTTTGGTTTGACAGCAAGAGAATACTGCAAAAAGAAATTACCAGAGGAGAAAATCAATAGCACCTTTAAAGTGCATGGAGCAGAGAAAGCTGTAAGCCAGCAGGAGTAGCACTTTTTGGCAATATAGAGACAAATAGGAAAAGAAAGAAGTTTTTTTCAGTATCAAAAAAACTCTCAAGCTGAGCTGGTCTGGTGAGTAAAGTATCATCAGAGGTGAGAAAGCATTTGACTTGCAGAATTCAATTATGATATGATATGTGATACAGGAAGACTTCACCTTGGCTCTTAAGACCTGGATGACATCTTTGTGATTTATTTTTATTAAGTAAATGGGCACATACATTCTGAGAGCTTCTGACAGAATTCCTGGCTCATTTATGTGCTGGGAGTACACCACAGTAGTTCTGCAACTCTGCCACCACCCCATTGTCCATGTTTGGAACATGCTGGAACATGTTACAGCTTTGTTGTGGTCCATGCACACGTTTCTTTGCTGTGTAAACCAAGATGCAGGGATAAGAGAACAGTATGCTCATGAACAGACACCAAGAAGGAAACCAGCATGGACTTCCAAGCCTGCTACTGCAGAGGTGTCCACCCAGAGAACATGAAAGCCTATAGAGTTTCTTTACAGAGTTACTTTCCAGAGCAGATCTACAGCCTGATGTTTCACATTTCAGTAAGTCTTTCTACTTTTCTTCTACAGAAGCTTGAACGCAGAGGGATGCTGTGTGCTATAAGTAGGTGCTAAGTAAGCAGTTAAACTAGGCAGTAACTTCTTAATTTTCATTCCAGATGGTGATGTAACAGTAAACTTTGAAACTTCAAATGGACACACCGTAGCCATTGGTGAAGAAACCATACAGGAAGAAAATGTGGTAAAAGGCAGTGGAAATAATGGCACCTTATCAGAGAAAGCATCAGCATCAGAAGGAAAAAAAGAAGATCAGGGAGGTAAATTAACATATTCTTCACAGATTTTTTTTTGCCTGCTTTAAACATTAACGTGTTCTTCCACTAGCACCTATACATGCTGTGAGTTCTGTTCTGCCACAAGGATGCCAGCAGAACCTGCTGAGAAGATAGGACTTCTGAACCACCAGTATTCCGTCACTGGCAGGCATGCCTTTTCCTATGCATATGGTAAGGTCATAAAGAGAAGCATGGTCTGAACATCACAATGCGTGCAGGGAGGTTCAGTTTCTAAATTCACTGTGAGCCTTTCCTTGTAGCCATGGCCAAGTTTTGGTGTCAGGTTTTCTCTTGTGAAAGAACACACTGAGTTCATATGCATCACCTTGCGGTATCATTGTAGAAGCGGCTCGTGGGTTGAATGTTCAGAAGTGTTTAAGTCGCTTGAAAACCATCTATCATTTTGAAAGTAACTCCAGCAACTCATTCCAATTGGTTTTCATGAAATCTTAAGCACTTGCAGTCCAGCTCTTCACAAACATTCAAGGGGCTGTGTCACTCCTGCAAACAGAAACCAGGCCATTTATGGAAAATGCACTCTTTAGCTATAAGGTTTTCTATAGATGAATTGTAGTAAATACTGGTAAATATTTAGCAGTTCCAGAGTCCATCTTGATTTTGCAACCTTTACTCAGATCTACTCTGAGTTTGACTCATAAAGGAAATATAAAGATGAGTGTGAAATCACAGGATTTGAACCAATTTTATTTTCTTTCTCTACCATCTTGAATAATGCACCACTTCTTTCCCCTGTCTAAAAGTGTTCTTAAATACTATTTCATTTGATGGACTTTCCCTAGCAGAAAGAGCAAAGATACAAAAGATCAAGACCTTCATGGCTGGCTGAAGCCATGGAGCCAGGACAGAACAGCCTTTCCAATGTCTTCTATTAAACTCTACCTAGTGATGAATGAGCCTCTGGAGGTTGAGAGTGTCAGTTGAGCTAACACAAAAATTTGAATTCTTCTCAGAGCTACATAAATCACTTGACTATGTAAAAAGTGGATAGAAGTCCAAGGAGAAACTTATGAGACTTGTAGTACTTCCTGTCTTCCAACAAGGCAGAAATACGAGATTAGCCTTTGTCATGACATTTAAATACATCTATCTTTTGGTGCCAACTAGAACCAGATGTGTATTGGGTCAGGGGAAAAGAGTTATAAAAGCCATGGAAAACTCCTTTAAAATGGTTCAGTTTAACTCTGAGGTTAGATCAGACCACTTATTATTTTGTGCATCACTAAATACAGCATTTTGGAACTGTCAGGACTTGGAAGTTATCCTAAAGTACAGTTTATTCTTTTAGAAATACATATTTCTTACCATCTTGAAATCCCCTCTAGCTGACTTTGCAGAATGTGTAACTCCAGTGAAGCAGGAGAGGTTCAATATCTATTTCAAACATCTTATTAGACTCTGCACTCCCAATATATTGTTTTGATTTTGGAGAAATTAAAAATGATTGCCCTACAGGAATAGACTCAATACAAAAGAAAGTATAGCTACCACTCCAGTCCCTCTCAGAAAATTAAGAATATGTGGAAGAAGGAGAACAAAAAAATGAGAAAAACTGGTATTCTAGGCTTCTTTGAATCTCAATATGAGCATCTGGAAGATGCAAACCCCTTAAAGTATACTTTCCTCCTGCACCTAAACATGAAGTTCTCCTAGAGTTTTGTGGTTTAACACCCACAAAAGGTGTTAAGGATCAATTCTGTGTATCAGAAACAGTGTTACATTGTGTAAACCCAGTACAAGTCACCCCACAGTCACTGTGAGTACACTTCAGTTATTCTCTATTTATAGCACACTAAGCAAAAAGGTGAGCCAGCCTGCTGAACTCAGTAGAAGAGTAAGGCCCACAACATCTCACCTGGCAGATTAATCCTGGGTGATTTTTTTATGGCAGATGCAGTACATTTGTGTTACACCCACACCCACTGGCAGAGCGAGGAATCAACAGCTGCAGAGTGGAGGTTTGCTAATGCTCACAGAGCATCAAAATCAGAGCTGAAGCAGGAATTCTTGGCTCACTGTCTTCTGCTGAGACCATAAAATGTGCTGGTGCTTCAGATCACAACCGTCCATCATGAGAACTGAGATAGGGGGATTGAATACTAGTCAGTATTGATATATTGATAGTCAGGAGTAATGGCTGGCTGCAAGAAGTTCATCTTTAATGAGGTTAATCTGAGGCTTCTGAAGTCATCAACTCTTAGGTGTAAATATTGAAGGAAGATATATACACCTTCCATGTTTATAAGACCCAAAGGCAGGATTCATTCCTGCTGCTTAGCAGGTGTGTTGGATTTCCAACTTCCACTGAGTCAAAGTTTGCCCAAAGATGCATCTCAGCCCCATGACGTTATAAAGTTATTTTAAAATGCTCTTGTGAAATGGTGATGGTCTTTATTTGTTCTCTTGTTCAACTTGAACAGTGAAATGGGTCTTGAAAATGTCCTTCTCATATAAATGTGATGACTGCAGGAGCCAGAAGCTTAAAAAGAGCACGATAGAGGCACATTGTGATAGCATGGTGAGAGCCAGCAGCAACAGGCTGTAGAATGTGGAGTATGTTAGGAGTTAAAACAAGTTAAAGGAAAAAAAGTTTTTCAGCATAAGCTATGGAAATACAGTATCCACAAGGCAAGCAATAGGCCCAGCCATGCATATAAAAATGAGTAAAGCAGAAGCAAGTGAAGAAGACAGCCCCTGAAAGCTGTTTCCCTGGCTGCCAGGCAGTTCCATAAGCTATGTACCCATCTGCCGACTGTCAGCTCACAGGTGCCTTTTGTGTTTGGTGAAAAATTCTCTTGGGCAATTTAATAGTATGACTGTTTCTATTTGTAGTAATGATGACAGTCATACAAGCAGGGTGTTTAAAAGAAAATGTCTCCTTTATGGCAGGATGATAAGAAACAAGTGACAGTTTAACATAAAGCAGGCAATTGATGGCTAAAGCCTTGATGTTGAAAAATTAGATGAATCTTTTTCTGAGATCATTTATTAGTGTTGTGTTTGTACTAGATTGACTTCTGAATTCTTCTGTTATGACTAAGGAAAGTCACCAGCATCTTTTGCAGAAAACGAAGAGTTAAACTGTAGCTATTTTATCTGTGAGCCTTGCAAGGGATACAGAGCAGCAAGTGGAGAGGCAGCAATATCAAAGAACACCCTGCATGTTTGGGCAGCAGACTGAAATCTCCAGCTGTTCCTGGGCTCCTGAGCCATAGCACTGATCTGCAGCACCCCCAGCACTGCCCAGAGCTCCAGGTTCCAGGTGAAGCATTGCAAAGGGGATCCAAGGAGTCTGTCTGCCTCCTGTCCCCCATAGCAGTGCTGGACAACATCAAAAGCCACAGTAGGATAGGTGTCAAAATGGCACTGTTTTCCTCCCTAGGTATCAGGACATAGCAAGGTGATGCAGCATGCATGCTGCCCATGGTAAAGCCTCCAGGTACTGTGCCAGAGACACTTTTCTCCTTTCAGCCCTCCCAAGATGTCTCTGAAACCCAGATGCACGAAAGAACCCCTTATTTGTATCTGAGTTCAGTTTGTAAACTTCGGTCTTACTCATTTTTGTCAAAGCAAGCTAAACCTTTTAATGATTCTTGCAGATGGTTCCAGATTTCATAGTTAGCTTGGGCTTGAAGAAGTGAAAGGCTCAGTAACCATCAGCAAGATACTGCCTGGAAAAAAATAGTAAGAAATTCAGTTTTGCATACCATCAGTCAGGTGTGTTAGGTGCTGCTTTGATAAATAATTGCATTGCAGAAAGCCAGAGCTCTGTTACAGGTGCTGTGGGTGATATGGGGCATAAGCTTCTGGAATGTTCCTGGGATATTTATAAGAGATTGATCTTCTCAGGTTTCCTCATGTCTGAAGTAAACACAAGTAAAAGAAACAGTTTTTAGTCCTGTTTCCAAATTAATTTTTGGGCTACATGTGCATATTTTTTCCCCCAAGAGGCTTACTCTCATATGAGAGCTGGAAAAAACTTCCAGGCCTTACTATATTGGGTTTACAGGTTCTTTCCTCTGTATTTTGTCTTCTCTCCTTAAATCTGCCATTAAATTTAATCTTTTCTTTTGCATATGGGTAACCAAAGAAAAGAAATTTGAGGCACAAACTCTGGTCTTACAACCATGCATCATCGTTCTCTAATGCTTTAGTTTGTCTACCAAGGAATGTTCTTCAAAGTCTAATTTTCTACGTTCCATTTCTCAGAGATCTTTTCTTTATTTCCCCAAAGCAGGACAAAACTTGTTTGAATATAACGTAGTAAGCCTCATCTTCCAGGGTCTCAGACAAGATCCTGCTTTGTTTCAGAAGATTAAACCTGGAAATCAGTCACTGTGAGAAACTAGGCAGACTTTGATCCCTCTTGTGTGCCTAGCTGCCTTCCTACACTCCTGAGCTCTGTAGATCATTGGTATGAGCAGCATACATAAAAGGTTGTGGGCTTTCTTGCCTGACTTCCTAGGAATCTCTCACTCCAGCTGAGTTATTTACTGGCTAAAACCAGTTCTTCTAAGAATAGTATATCTTCTATTCATCACCTGAACTATGTAAATGAGGCTGAATCCAAGTATTCTTAAAAGGAAAGCTACTCTAGATAAAGCTGTACTTGGCCAGAGCCTGTCCACTGAGTCAGCAGGGTTGGCTCAGGGTGACATGTGACATGTGAGTTTTTCACCCACAAAAACTGAGTGTCTGAAGAAAGCTCCTGACTTGTAAAGCTGGTTTGTTTCAGTTTTTCTCTTTTATAGGAAAGATATCCTAATGTGGCTCTAGAATTAATGTTGTGTACGTTATTTTTATTAATTAACTATTTCATTATTTGAGTATATCTTTACAGAAAGTATAAGAGAATGTAGAAGCCTACATGCCTTCCAAGATTCTCACAGACCAGCTGACAGTGAATATGTCTTAGGCATTCTCTCTTTTCTTTAGCAGCTTACTTCTTACACAAAGATTGAGCA